ATATCCCTTGCATTTTCAACTTTATTTTCCTCGAAAAGGAAGCCTTAAGCGAAAGAATTGTATTCTCTGGAGCAGAACCTCGGTTATCCGAACTGATCAACAGATTATTTGTGTTCGAATAATAGAGTAGCTACTCAGTTATTCGATTGGAATAAATCCTATTTATTTTTTTCATATGTTTACAATAGGATAAGGCAGATTGGGACAGACAGTAGCGATCGGATGCAGATCAGATCGAACCAGAATAAGCGGGTTGGAACAAGTTACAGAGCAAACATCGCAACGAGACATCTGAGAAAAAGTAAATTTCAAGAACAAACTTACTTACGGCAAATGTTACAATAACGCTTGTTAAAAATCAGAATAAATGTCTTATTGTCACTTTTATAAACTAATATAAAACAGCTGTTTGTTGTGCTCTGTAAATCTAGTATTAAAAACATAAGATAAACTAATAATTAACTAGTAGGGCATTTGAGCCGTTTATTTTGAAAGTGGTCCAGTCGATTTATTTTAAAATTCGTATTAATGAATTTAAAAATATTGATAACTGATAACACGGTAGTACAATATTTTCGTGTTTCTAAGGGTTATTGCGTTCTAGAGGCTTTGCTGAAATTTCGCTTGCTATTGCTGATTGGAAAAACTGCATTACTTAAGCATTAAGTGCACGGATACTTGCTTAATGTCGAAGGATCTACAATCTGATGTTACTCATTTTTTTATATAGTTGAAGGTGTAACGGTGGTGTTATTATGTTTTAATGAAATTTGTTTGTACTTTTATTTATATTTTGATAGGATGATTCAAAACGAGTACAATGATCTTTAATACGAAGGTTATTCAAGGTCGTTTAAAGCCAACTTGAATCAACATTGACTTACTTTAAGTGCTACGTTCTGTACACGAATAAGCACTAACAATGTTTTCATCGGATTTCTACCACAAAAGACAAGTTTTGATTTTCCTGCATTTTAGCTTTCACGCAATTGCAAATGAGAATGGAAATGTATATAAAGAGCCGCAGTCCACTGATTTCATACTGCGGAACTAATCGTCATGGACGCATGTTTAACTAGTTAGCTGTGTTTGACGATTATACTCGTCACGGAGCAGTGGCAGTATTTTATGTCATGACGAATATACTCGTCGCGCGTAAAAAGTAGTGACCATTGGCTATTTAAATTGTAATGTTAGTAATAACAGAAACACATTCTCAAATTTCAAGATGTTCAAAATATTTTTAGGCCAATGCTACACGAAGATGATTACATTATTATAAAAATAAGATTAAACATTAGTGTTCGACGCGTAAAGTGTTATTATGCATCGTTCCTTACATTGCTGAATATGTACCACTCCATAGCAGCAATTCGAATTTTTAACTTTTATAATTATTTGATTTGTCCCGCGTTTTTCGTTTATTATTTATATAGTATATGCCAATGTTAAACGAATAAGTAAATATTAGTAATAAAATTGTTAATTTTATAAAATAAAAATGTGTGTTCGACGACTATACTCATCATCGCTCGATTCTCGCGACACATATAGGTGCTCGTTCTGAAAAGGAGGCGCCGCAGCTAACTGGTTAAAGAAGTGATAATTACAATTACATTCGTATGGAGCGTACAGAGTACCTTGTCGATCCAAGAAGAGTTACACGAGACGGTTCGCCTGGCATTGTGTTCCAAGACCAGAAAGAAGAATGCGACATAATTGGACAAGGAGGAAAATAATTGTAATAGAATGATTGGGAAGTGAAAGAAACACAAGTGCAGGGCGTTGGACCAACGCAAACAGAATACTATTCCCGAGGCTTCGTTGTCGGTCTCATTGTTATCGACCCGTTGGTATTCCCTGGCGTCATTGGTAGCGCGATCACGTGGTGTCTATCGCCTTCCAACCAGTCAGCTCTCTCGTATAATGCAGACCATTGACGTAACATTAAGCAGTCCTGCGTGAAAGGTCATAGGCGCAACTCGAACATAATTGATGGCCTATATGCGTTTCCGAATCTTAGCTTTGTCAGTTTTCAATCTTGGGCAGAAATTATCTTGTATGTAGTCGTCGCTGCTGTTTGTTATATTTCATCAAACAAAGTGGGTACATTTTGGCATTTTGGCACACAATGTGCCAGGATTGTAAAAATAAAAATAAACATGAAACACTTAGAACATGACTCATGAAAGAGCCTAAACGAGGCACTGAATGATAGAGCGGAAGTTACGCTTTTAAATGGTATGATCAATGCAATGATCATAAATTAATCACTTAAGCGGTTAATATTATGTATATAGATTATGACCGTACTTTGAAATATATATATATAACGGTATTATATAATCTATAATATTATCTCTCACGGTAATGACGTATAACAACACGCTAGTATAGTAATGCTTAAGGGGTTAAATGTATCTGTAATATATAAACGTACTTGCATGTGTTTCTTAAACAATAGTATATTCTGTGTTATTAGTTTGCTCGTGTGTTTTAAAAAATGTCTTATAAGCTAATAACAAAAGTAGAATCAACATTGTCGTTTCTAATTCTAATTGTTAAAGTAAAAGAATAACTGTGACGTTTGATTCGTTTTTAACATCAATGTTAAAAATCCTTATTACTTGTACTCTTCGATAGAAGTATGTTCGTTTATTGTTCACCGGTGTAATTAAATTACACCCGAATTTCGGGTGTAATTTAATGGAAATACAGTCGAATGGATAATAATACGTAATACGAAGTATTGTACTATGCGTCGTTCAACCATTCGAACAACCTGATAACGTACATTTTCTTTACACAATTCAATTATGTAAGACAATGGTTGGCTATCCAGAGCTATGCACAGATGCAAACCAGGTTGCATATAATTAGGCACCGCATGGAAAATAGAGCGTTGCTCGTGCTTTTGATATGATAATTAACAACGTGACCACAGATTCGAGCTGTACGGACATAAACGCAATAAATACTGATCGTACTCGAGGCTAAACCTTATGACGCGCAGGATATTCAACGTTGGCATAATTTTTCTCTCTATTCTTCGGTCACGTTCGGAAATCTAATTTGCACGAAGGCTAAAGACAATCGATGCGATAGACTTACTAATGGAGTTTTTATGGGACAGAAGTTTCGAAACAGAGAAGAAAAGATAGGAAATTATTATAGTTGCACACATTCTGAAATTTCGTGCAACTATGATATTTTATACACTACTCACGTTCAAGGGTGGGGGTAGCTATCGAAACATAATCACTCATGAAAATGATCGAGTAATTAAAATTCTGAAAAGATTTGTATTCGTTTGTTTATGTTTATTTTCATTTGCTCATAGAAGAATTATATTATCGCTTTATGCAAATACAGCTGTCATGGAAACATTTTCTTTCATATCTTCAATTTCTTACGAAATATACAATTATTTTCCAATAATTTACACAATAAGCATGCATATATTGTTCTAAGGAACAATAGAAATCTTTGTATAATACTAACATTATTCGATTCATCGATAAACAGTTCCCGCCATAAATATAAAAAAAATAACGTATCGTATTTAAGTAATACGTTAATATTATATACGTTAATATATTGCATCAAAAAAGTTTCACACACACATTTTATTTATGCAACTGTAAACTTTATGGAGAGGTTATTCTGCAGTCTTTATTACGCACATTACATTTACAATATTAAACTTACACTAATGTGTAGGTAATGCAGTAACTATAATACATATCTGTTATTCGTGGTAACGAAAATGCTGATGAATTAGCCGAAAGTGCTAACATTAAACATTTTAACATTAAAATTGTTAAAACCGAATAAAATTTAGTATGATTGGTAGCAGTCGATCATGCGCAGCAGATAGTTCCAATATTCATACAGTCAAGATTAAATATAGAAAAACATGTTTAGTTTAGAGCGTATCGAGTCAACATAATTTTCTGCAACGAAAATGTATGTTATTTGTGATTCAACAAAATATTCATTGACCTAAATCGAATCTCGTTACCGTAATACGATAATAAACCGTAGAACTCCTGAGGTCGTTGAACGCGCGGGTCAGAAAGTCATAAATACAAGATTATATCGGTTGCATCAAACATTCACAGAAAATTATTTTCCATGCCAATCTGAAATGTATTTCATACTGTGCGAACTACATTTCACGAACATGTTTCTTAACCCGCGAATAATTATGCGAAAGATCCTAAAATAATATGTCGCTGATTTTTGTATTACATTTTAAAACAATAAATTATATTTCATATACAGGATGTTTGTTTGATTTCCAAAACTGTGAAGCATCTTTTAATAGAGTAATGTTGTGAAAAAAATGTTTCAACGTAGGTTGTTTGGTATTGTGGATTGCATCATGTGGCGTACGTATTAAGTCTTTATCTGTTACACGATGAGGATGATTTCCAAACCAGTTGAATTTTTTCAAAAGAAATGCTATGTTTTTGTCTATATGGTATGATAGTGAGTTTTAAGGCGAATTCAACGGGTTGCCATTTAAACCATTTCTTTTCATAATTTTTAGTCACGTTTTTTTCACTTTAGCCTTATATACAGTAGATAAAACAGGCATCCTGTATAATGTCGCATTTTGAGATAATACATTTCAGATTATAAACAGAATACAGTATCTAACAGAATATGCAAATGGTTTTCTGAAGATTGAAACTTTTAGTATTCGCGTTTCATAATTATTGAACAAAATCTTAACGAGATTGTTCATTAGCTTAAAATTGTTTTCTTGTCGCGTTGGCTATTTTATATTTGAGCACAGCATTAGCACACTACCAATGGGTTTGCATATATTGTTTCCCAATACAATGCAGCACAATGAATACGCGTGCTGACGTCCGAAGGACTCAAAGTATAAAAAATAGCGAATAGTCGGTGTTTGAATTTTTTAATTGTTCATGGTCTCGGATGTTTGTATATAAGCTGGAAGAGAAATTCCCTGGACGTACTGTTTGTGTCAGTAAGTTTTCTGTGAGCGAGTTCATCATGTCGTATTTCACCAGATGGATTACTGTACTGGTATTGATCGGTACTGTCTGGTCACAGGTTAGATTTGTCCAAAGTTTTATTATTTTACTTCAGTGTCAGAAATATCTACCAAAAATGCTCCAATAACACTTTTCAACTTAACTTCTATATTCCGTTTCGATAAACGGTAAGCGTTTCTTGCCGATTTCGATGCTTCGATATAAAGTTCTATTTTAAGTAGTTACAATTTTGTAAAAACTGTCTTTTCAATTTTAACCATTTTTTCTGCATTAATCGTGAAAGGTATACATATAAGTGCTTCTCATGTAGAATAATTTTGTCTATTTTATCAAATACAACGATACATATTTTCAGAACATTATATATATTTCAACATGTTTGTTCAAGGAGAGCGAGACGTCTTTAATCGACCAACCTTAATCGAATATTTTAAAATAAATCTTATAAATTGAGGGTAGCATAAAAAATAAAAAATACAAAACTGTATTATTCTCGATTTCTTGATGTTGTTAAGAGAAGATGTACATTTTTGTTTAACCCCTATCTCCTACAATTAATCCAGAACATATCTCCGTAAAAATCCACAGTCTAGTCATAAGTATATTTCACTGAAGCCTGCTCAAAGTTAAACACAAATTATCAAACATATTAATTCCTTTCACTATAACGACAAATTGAGCGATTTTTGTTAGTAAAATAAATTCTTATTCAGACTTAAATGTACAAGTGCACAAGTAATATTGTTTCATAATTTAGTAGAATTGAAGCGTTTTCAATCTCTAACAAAACAGTCACATTTCGCAGAATAAGTTGTATTATCACTCGTCATACAGTATATTCAAGCCATTGATGTTAATTAAAAACGTGTAGAAATGAATCGTGATTTAACGAAACGTGTAGTAACATTTTACGGCGGCGATGTTCAAATTATTTTTAAATAGTATCCAGACTGCATTTTGTAGGAATTCTAATTCACATACATACCTGTATTCTGTTATAGTATGTTGAAACAGAATCATCTTTGCGGTCAGCAAGATTCGGTGGGATCTTGTTGCAACCTTTGCGGAAACAATTTTGCGATACCTACTGCAGTCATCTTAGTAGGTTTCTGTTCCTCCAGAACATTGGTTGTTGTATAAACTGTGCTGACCTCTGGAAGCCTAATGAACCACCTGCGCCAAATCCACCACCGATGAATGCGCCAAATCCACCACCGATGAACGCGCCAAATCCACCACCGATGAATGCCCCAAATCCACCACCGATGAATCCGCCAAATCCATCATCGATGAATGCGCCAAATCCATCATCGATGAATGCGCCAAATCCACCACCGATGAATGCGCCAAATCCACCACCGATGAACGCGCCAAATCCACCACCGATGAATGCGCCAAATCCACCACCGATGAATGCCCCAAATCCACCACCGATGAATCCGCCAAATCCATCATCGATGAATGTGCCAAATCCATCATCGATGAATGCGCCAAATCCACCATCGACGAATGCGCCAAATTCATCATAGTTGGATGCGCCTAAGGCCTAAGACAACAAGTTAACCATCAATATCTACGCCAATGCCAATGTCTATTCTGTGCCAATGGATCTGTCGTTGTGCAATTCCTACCAAATCACCTAATTAGGAAACTAGTTTAGTCTTATCTTAACAAATTTTTGAATTGTCGTATTGAAATTGAAACAAATAAAAGTATATAGCTTTTGAAAGATATGTTAAAATGTCTATCGAAATGTTATCTTTTCTTGCATTACCTATATACTTTTATTTGTTTTAATTACAATACGACAATCCAAACACAATTGTTAAGATAAGACTAAACTAGTTTCTTAATAGAGTGATCTTGTAGAAATTGCTTTATTATAATCAAGCCAAAGTGCATAACTGATGTATGATGTACACCTAACAACAAGATTTTCCTTAAGGCTAAAAATAGTTTTGAACTAACACGACTATCATGTAATTGTTTTAATATATATTATGCTTCTAAAAATATAAAGTTATTGTATCCGTCACATATCTTGAAAAAATGAAATCCACTGATCTGTCANTGCGCCAAATCCACCACCGATGAATGCGCCAAATCCACCACCGATGAACGCGCCAAATCCACCACCGATGAATGCGCCAAATCCACCACCGATGAATGCGCCAAATCCACCACCGATGAACGCGCCAAATCCACCACCGATGAATGCCCCAAATCCACCACCGATGAATCCGCCAAATCCATCATCGATGAATGCGCCAAATCCATCATCGATGAATGCGCCAAATCCACCACCGATGAATCCGCCAAATCCACCACCGATGAACGCGCCAAATCCACCACCGATGAATGCGCCAAATCCACCACCGATGAATGCCCCAAATCCACCACCGATGAATCCGCCAAATCCACCACCGATGAATGCGCCAAATCCACCACCGATGAATGCCCCAAATCCACCACCGATGAATCCGCCAAATCCACCACCGATGAATGCGCCAAATCCACCACCGATGAATGCCCCAAATCCACCACCGATGAATCCGCCAAATCCATCATCGATGAATGTGCCAAATCCATCATCGATGAATGCGCCAAATCAACCATCGACGAATGCGCCAAATTCATCATAGTTGGATGCGCCTAAGGCCTAAGACAACAAGTTAACCATCAATATCTACGCCAATGCCAATGTCTATTCTGTGCCAATGGATCTGTCGTTGTGCAATTCCTACCAAATCACCTAATTAGGAAACTAGTTTAGTCTTATCTTAACAAATTTTTGAATTGTCGTATTGAAATTGAAACAAATAAAAGTATATAGCTTTTGAAAGATATGTTAAAATGTCTATCGAAATGTTATCTTTTCTTGCATTACCTATATACTTTTATTTGTTTTAATTACAATACGACAATCCAAACACAATTGTTAAGATAAGACTAAACTAGTTTCTTAATAGAGTGATCTTGTAGAAATTGCTTTATTATAATCAAGCCAAAGTGCATAACTGATGTATGATGTACACCTAACAACAAGATTTTCCTTAAGGCTAAAAATAGTTTTGAACTAACACGACTATCATGTAATTGTTTTAATATATATTATGCTTCTAAAAATATAAAGTTATTGTATCCGTCACATATCTTGAAAAAATGAAATCCACTGATCTGTCATGTTTGCTGACAACAACTACTACGAAAGGAAGTGTTCATCTTTTGTGGACATTAATACTAGTTTCAAATATTAAACATAAGTTAGCCTTTGTCTAGGACATTATAAACATTATTTATTACTAAAATAAGATATATTTTTAGTTCAAAACAGATTTTAATTTTTTAAGTGTGCACTGTTAGAAATAAATGATTATATAGTTACTAATTAAGTCTGTTTGGCCAATTCGTCAATGTTTCATGCTTATTTGCGAATGTATTTGACCCTGCGTTCTTGATCGTTGCATCCGATTAAAGTATTTCTAATTTAAATTAAATATTGAGACAAAATGAACGAAATTCTTGGCATGAGTCAATTTGATATAAGGCGTTTTTATACATTAGTGTAAATTATAATTTATGTACAAAGGGTGACCAAATTATTATAATCAAAAGATTTGTCTTCAAAATATGCGAAATTTGTGTCTTTAGTAGATTATAATATATAAATAATCGAATTTATAAATCACAAAAACAATTTAATACGTAAGATTTTACCAACCTTAATGGTCTTATTTAAATTCGCACACTAATCGGATTTGCCGTTCGTGTGACACTCTGTTCCTCGACTTTTATGAACGAAAAGACTCCACGTATACGATGATTGATAGTATAAGGATCGATTACTTTCTCCAACATAGTTAACATTTTATGACTATTATTGATACTTGATACATTGATTAACTACAACATCTGGCAATGCTGTGAGTGCAAACAAATCTCATTTTTTAAGAAAAAAGTGGGTAAGAAGAAGTCTTGGCTTCAATACTGAACATAGTATTCGGCAACTGCTGGATTTTTATGTAATAAGGATCGTTGATTTACTGGTCATGTTTTTTAGCGTGAATTAAATTTTGTACGAGCTTCCAATTGAAATAATTTTTCTTATATTCAACTGATTTAATTTTATTTTTTTTCCTAGAATTTAGTCTTCAATTCATGTAAAGCTGTAATTTGTACTTTCAAATACAAATATTATTCTATAAAATTTCCTGTGTACAATTAGTAATGGAGGTGTAGAGTATACAGGGTGCCCCAAAAATATGGTACTTCCGGGAAATGAGGGGCCCCCGAGGTCATTTAAAGTAACCTTTTCCGCAGCAGAAATGTAATCCGTAGCTTCGTTTACGAGTTATTAACAAAAAACACTGACCAATGAAAGCCGAGCTCGGCTAGGTGGTCGAGCCAATGGGCGGAACTGGGCTTCGACCGCTCGTTGGCTCGACCGTCTCGCGCCAGCTGATCTCGACTCTCATTGGTCGCTGTTTTTCTTTAATAACTTGTAAACGAAGCCGTGGATTGCATTTTCGCTCAGGAAAAAGTTACTTCAAATGACCTCAGAAACCCCTCATTTCCGGGAACTATCATAATTTTAGGATACCCTGTACAATGTTGATACCGAAGTCGGTATCAACCATTACTCGGCTGCTCTACATTTTGAGATGTATATGAATACTGCTGGTGTTCAGAAGATTCCGGAGGATTGCGAAGTCCGTAAGATTTAAGATGTTTCAGTAGATCAATAAAATAGCTAAAAGTTTGCAATTTTCTTAAGATCTAGCCGTTCCAGCAGCTTCTTGAATAATTTCAGCTTCATCTGATGATGGCCTGGAGTTGGAACGTATCAGAGACATGCGAGGAAACGGAGCTTTAAATATAGCTATGTGTCAGACTAGACGAAAATTTGAAAATATTTCATCGTTTCTATCTTGGCGGTTCACTGGAATATTCTCAAGACCCGCTCTTATTCGTTCACCTGCGGTATTTAAAGCATCTTACAGATCCGTGTGCTGTCGATGTTGTTGTTTAACTATCTTTTATATGAGAGCACGGACCAGGTTCAAGAATAGGTATAACATCATATCGACTTTCGTGTCACCAGCAGTCTGACTGCTTCATAGATTCGATATTTTGCAACTGATTCCAGAGTTCCCCTCTCATGGACAACGGTTAATTCAGAAAATATTCACTAAAATAATATTGGAACCCGAAACGAATGTGTGAGCAGCAATGAATGTGAAACTTTTGAAGCATTTATCTTTTAAGGATTGTTCGGTGTTTCGAGCCTTATTTGTTATTTTTTTATACAAAATTTATGGTAAAATAGTGATGGGAATGGTTTACAGATAGAAACACAATCAATTTATAAATCAAAGTTCTAAGCAATAATTCATGGAAACATTCGAGCTTTAAAAGTTAATTGGCATCTCGAGTTGTATTAGTAATTTTCAATAATAAATTATTTGGTAAAGTAGCCGAGAGAACTGTTCAACAATGTCGCTAACAAGTAGAAATTGTGATAAATATTGACATTTGGCTCTGGTCCATTTAGAATCCAAGTATAAAATCAATTTCTCAATCTCAAACGTAGAGCTTCGAAATTTAAGCTAGACACAGTAGTTTTTGTATTTCTGGTCTCCCCACTTCTGTGAACGGAAGTATGTACATTGTTGAATCGAATCGAAGTATCACAGATGGGGTATAATCTTTTATACTATGCAGGGTCTGACTGTCTTATCGACTCGATATTACACTGTGTCGCAGACTTAGGATCCGTACAGATATTGCATCTTATGGGTTTTTCTGTCTCAGCTTTGGAGGGCTCTACAGCTCCCTTACCGTTTCGTGTCGCGATCAGCATTACCGATAGTACACGAAAAATGGGCACGTTAGTAAGAATCGAATATCCTGTACATTTCATTTCTACTATGAGTGCTTGAATATTATTTGGAAGCAATAATAGTGTTTTTATAGTAGTTCATAACATGAACTACAGAAATACGATATAGTATAATCATTTTCATGTACAGTTGAGCTATCATTTCTACTAATTTTGTGTATAATTAGTGATGGTACATATATAGCAATAATTTTATACATTTTTTCTCGTAGATGGGTACATTTGCAACAATAATAAGTTTATGAACATTAGAGTGCTAGTATTCTTTTTAGGTCTTGGCGAATGACAGTACACATTTTCAATTTAATAGTTGTTCTTATGTATCTTTTATTTTGTAATAACATCTTTCAATACTGACAGACATCGTTATATCGTACATCAGGGCTGAGAACAAGACTGCACGTAACATCGATGCCAAGGGGGCTACGCCTCCTGATTCCCGTCGCAGCGTCTCGCTTCTCTTTAGATGCGTACCGTAGTACAGTAAATTCTTTCCGATTGTCCTTAACCCTTATTTTTCGTTAATTTGCGTTATATTTGAAGTCAAGTTTTACATACATGTAGGTGCTAATAGCAAGAAATGTTGATTTTATTAGTGTTGGCCCGACTTCACCACCAAACTGAGAGGTTATGTGGTTACATGCAAACGAATATGTGCGTGATATGCATTCTAAGATTGGTATATTCGTGTATTGTGGAAAAACGGGATTCATCTCTTCCAATAGGCGTACGAAATACATAAGTGGGACACATATATCCCGATAGACTCCAAAGGGTTAAGCTTGTAAACAAAAATGGACAATCTGGGGAGAGGAGATACGATTATTCGATCCTTGCACATTGTTTTTATAGTTGTTAACAATCGGCAACTATAAAAATAAGTCGCGAGGCTCGAATATTCGTATCTCCTCTTCCCAAATTGTCCATTTTTGTTTACAAGCTTAACCCCTGTCTCTTATACACATCTAGATGTGTATAAGAGACAGGGGTTAAGCTTGTAAACAAAAATGGACAATCTGGGGAGAGGAGATACGATTATTCCTGTCTCTTATACACATCTAGATGTGTATAAGAGACAGGGGTTAAGCTTGTAAACAAAAATGGACAATCTGGGGAGAGGAGATACGATTATTCCTGTCTCTTATACACATCTAGATGTGTATAAGAGACAGGGGTTAAGCTTGTAAACAAAAATGGACAATCTGGGGAGAGGAGATACGATTATTCCTGTCTCTTATACACATCTAGATGTGTATAAGAGACAGGGGTTAAGCTTGTAAACAAAAATGGACAATCTGGGGAGAGGAGATACGATTATTCCTGTCTCTTATACACATCTAGATGTGTATAAGAGACAGGGGTTAAGCTTGTAAACAAAAATGGACAATCTGGGGAGAGGAGATACGATTATTCCTGTCTCTTATACACATCTAGATGTGTATAAGAGACAGGGGTTAAGCTTGTAAACAAAAATGGACAATCTGGGGAGAGGAGATACGATTATTCCTGTCTCTTATACACATCTAGATGTGTATAAGAGACAGGGGTTAAGCTTGTAAACAAAAATGGACAATCTGGGGAGAGGAGATACGATTATTCCTGTCTCTTATACACATCTAGATGTGTATAAGAGACAGGGGTTAAGCTTGTAAACAAAAATGGACAATCTGGGGAGAGGAGATACGATTATTCCTGTCTCTTATACACATCTAGATGTGTATAAGAGACAGGGGTTAAGCTTGTAAACAAAAATGGACAATCTGGGGAGAGGAGATACGATTATTCCTGTCTCTTATACACATCTAGATGTGTATAAGAGACAGGGGTTAAGCTTGTAAACAAAAATGGACAATCTGGGGAGAGGAGATACGATTATTCCTGTCTCTTATACACATCTAGATGTGTATAAGAGACAGGGGTTAAGCTTGTAAACAAAAATGGACAATCTGGGGAGAGGAGATACGATTATTCCTGTCTCTTATACACATCTAGATGTGTATAAGAGACAGAATATTCGTATCTCCTCTTCCCAAATTGTCCATTTTTGTTTACAATTGGGAAGAATTTACTATAACTACTTGTGGCGCATTAGGGCGACGCTCTTTTGCAACGATGAAGCAACAGTATCGAGTATTAATGTAAAAAGAAGGAACTATATGTATATAGGATTATATATAATTATATATAAGAAACGCAATTAAATTCCTATAAATTAATTATCAATGACAGCAGCATAATAACATCATTTA